CTGTTGACTGATTCCAGAATTCGGAAATCTGTTTTAGTAAGATTTACTCTTAGATTTGAGCTTTTCGTTTTGGGTAGATAAGTGAATACTTGAGGTAACATTTCCAGAAATACACATGTAAGGGAACGACAGATGTTCGTTGACGGGCTCATCAGTTTAGAGGAGAACGACCTATACTAACGTAGACTCTTATACCCGAAACTCCTATAGTGTTTGTTTTGCTTAGACCGAAAGCAAATCAAAACACAAAATTGACTGTCCAAAATGAGAAGCATATATTTCGGGTTTAAAATGGTAGTACAAGGATGATAGTCTAACTAGCTAAGGATCATGTACGAACGGACGAACGTAACACGACGGTGTGCCAAATGGCGTGGATGCCTGACCGTGCACCTTCAGCTGAACAACTCGACCTAGACGGTGAAGGTCACCATCCAATATTAAGTGATGAATGCTATAGGTTAATAATTTTAGGGAATTATCAACCGCTACACACGTCTTAAATGTGCATAACAAGCCAATACTGAAAACTGCTTTTGACAGCCATTGTACTAAACTTTATTACAACTCCATGCAATATTAGGTTGATATAAGAAATATGATAATAGTAATGACTTCGTTACTGACAGTGCGGTGACAGCGGGCTGCTAGCCGAATTGGTAGACATTAATTTACGTCATTGTTTATATCCCAAATATTGGTCGTGAGAAAAATAAGAACAAAGACTGATTTAACAGCCAACCAGAGCAGACTTTGCGTAGGCGGATGCAGTTAGCACATAGATGATCTAACATTCAAGAAACAGCCACAAAGAGAAAAAAGACCAACTTTCTTTGAGAAACAACCAATCAGAAGACTGTGTTTTTCTGATAACAATAATCTATAATAATGTACATGAAAATATATAAATATGTGTTGATTTCCTCAATAAACGATCTGTTGCCTAACTCTTGCCCTCTGTTGTTACAACAGTAGTCTATATTACAGAATGAAATTTCCAGAAATGTGCTGATATTAGGTGGTTGGAGGCAATCGGCAGGAAGCCTTGGACCTAGGTTTCGTGCTAGTTGGCACGAAACCTAGGTCCAAGGCTTCCTGCCGATTGCCTCCAACCACCTAATATCATCACAAACTATGTACACCGTGATGGCGAGCTACCTAGAATGGTGGCCACATTACAACCTGACTGATAGAATTCAGTCTGCACCAAAGAGAGGACTAGACGCATCACACTAGTTATTAGTGTCAAATCAAAATATCCAGAAATGTGCATATTGCAACACTTTATCTGTTTTTACAAAGACAAATAAAATAGTGAAATAATAAAACCGAAGTTATTAGAAGAATAATGTGTGTATTAAAATCAGTGCTAGAGATAAGTAGCAGTTTATTTACAGATTATAAAGTAGGTTGTTTAGTCCTTTTCTGAGATTTGTCTCTTCAGAAAACATATGTGCGAGATATGGTATGGTTAAGCCTTTTATATTTAGCCGTACGAGCCTAAATTCTTAAGAAATTTCCCCCAGCATTACTCGGAAAGATACCAGGAGAAAGTTGCGAATATAAAGAGGATGCTGAGTGTCCGACAGGATGAATTTAGCCAATTTCTCGCAAAAATTGAAAGGCTTATCAACAACGATATCATTTAGCATTTTCAAAGACATACCACAACCCTGTTTACAGCCTTCAAAGTCCCATGTAACATAACATGGTTTTATTTTGGTAACTCAGGGAAGAAGTATGGTAGTCTTTCAAACCTATCTTCCTGAAAAAATTAACATTCAATCATTTACACAGAATTAATGTAGAATTTTATATAATAAGCTTTTGAATTTATTTATTATTTACCTTACAAGACAGACAGTTCCTTGAAGGAATTCATATCATTTCTGAGATTCGAACCCACGTCACCGGG